TTTTTTTTTTTTACTTTTAGATAATGTACTCTTTGTACTTTGTCCCTATTAAAATAAAACTGGAATTACAGACAACTATAAATCAATTAATTTTTCAGCTTCTAAATTATTGCCCAGTCTAGCCATTTAACATGTGTGTTAATTTGTCTATTTTTAAGTGTTGTCCTGTCTTGTTGATCTGTCTCTGTTTGTGCATTGACATTTAAGGTGTTCAGTTTTTTTTTCACATTTCAAAGAAATGTCCTTGGATTGATGTTGTCCTCAGAGTTACCTTAAGATGACAAAATCAACCATGTGTCATGATTTCTCTGTAGATTGATTTTGTGTAACTATAAAATTCTAAACTAATCCTTGTTTTGATAGATAGTCCAGACTCAAATTGTCTGCCTCAGCTAAGGAAATGGTTCTTGTCTTAAGTGACTCTTACACAACTATTTTTAGTGCTATGTAAATCACTGATAATTTGGCCAGTGACGGATCGCCGTCATTCCATGTCTCCTGTCATTAAACTCTGATTTGTCATTTTGACCATCAGAAGAGAGTGACAGTTGAAATATAGAGAGTCATAAAACGCAGCTTTCTGTAACTCAGTACTTATTACAGACTTTGGCACATAATATGTTGGCGTTTTAGAAAAACCTTCAACTTCTTTGAAATTATGATACTTCATTCATTTTGAAGCACCATTTTTGTGTAAAAGTTGGAATGGATAAAAAACAGAACTGTAGCTGAACTTGAACTCTCATAGACCACACACAGAGTTTGACTATACATTTGAAGGAAAAGGATATATGTTTTTGAACATATAAAACCTTTTTTTTAATTACAAAAAATACTAAAGTGTGATTTGCATTGGCATTCAGCCTCATGGCTCCAAGTCTCCTGAATAAAACTAAGAGAAATTTATAACCTTCAAAAGTCTTAATAGTAAAGTCCTTACAATCTCAGCTTAATTAAAATTTAGACTTGGCATTGTGGCAGCTATTCACCTTCATGGAAAAAGACAAGCCTTAACATACTGCAAGATTTGCACTGGAATTCTTTAGGTGAAAGAATAATTTATGTATTATTCTTGCATAGTCAAAGTCCAGACTTAAATTCAATTGAGAATTTAAGGCAAGACCTAAACTTATTGAACACGTCTCTCTCCAACCTGTCTATAAGCTTGAAATTTTTGTTTTAGAAAAATAGGGAAAATTTCCATATCTAGATCTTCAGAATTATTAGACACACTGCAAGATACTAAAAAAATCACCTCAACATGCATAACTACTTACTTTTTTTGTTTGTTTTTTAGAATGTACATGTAAAAATGAAACTCATTTAATTTGAGGCTGTAATATGAGAAAAGTGAAAATTTTCCACTTTTCTCATATAAAGCTAATTTTTAACCGGCCATTAATTCATATTTCAAACAGTAGGTTTGTAGCAGTGCGACAGACTGGCGACCTGTACAGGGTGAACCCCGCCTCTCGCCCGAAACGTTCACTGGAGATTGACACCAGCACCTCTCCCGACCCCACCGGGTACAAGCGGGGACGAGGCTGTACAGAAAATGGATGGATGGATGGATGGGTTTGTAGCACAAAAAGTTCCAGAAATAATCAGCTATTTTGGTAGCATTATATGGCATTTTATGCTTTTATTAATCTATTTTTTCTAAACTGAGAAAATTTGTGGATAATTTTACCACAGCGGAATTTAATTTTGGTTTTTTTTTGTGAAAGACACTGCATTGCTTTAGGTTTAGCAACGTAAGAGGAACGTTTTCTTTATTTTCTTGTTTCCACCGGATCCTGTTTGATGCGCACTGTCGAGATTTTGTTTCCTTAGCAACAATCCCCGCGATAGCAACAATGTATCACACCTATCAACGAAAGAGACAATGCAACAATTCAAAATTTTAGTTGGCGGTCTGCTCTCTTTCCCCCATAGACTGATATAGTGAATCGTTGCCATATTGTTTTTTTTTTTCCCCTACAAAATGTCTTTTCAGGAATCAACTCGTCCCCCCGATGATGATGAGGTTTTCTACATGCAGTGTCGAGCTGCTTATCTTGCTGTGTTCCGATCAAGTTTGTCTAATATATCTTCAAAACAGCAGTTGTGTCGGGGTAAGAACCGCTTTTAAACCACTTGCTAATTTGCTGCACAACGCTGTGTGATTTTAACTCGTATGCATATCTATCACTTTGCCTTGATTCACGTGAATGCACAGATTTACGTTGAAGTCAACATAAATGCGTCTTTGTTAGAATAGGACAACATGTAAAATGTCACTGAACATTGCAGATCGCTGATTTAGGTCTCAGTCAACCATCTTGATTTTCCATAATGTAGTCCACATAAGTCTCCAAGTTTATAAGAATACCTCGATTTGTAATCAGGAAAACTACAAAAATGTCGAAAAGCCAGGAAAAAAATCTATCGATTAAGTGCATATAGTTATTAGTGAAAATTAATAACATACAGTTCTGAATCAACTAGCTCCCAGTCAGACACTCGAATAATAGTACTCAAAAGTAGCTTTTGAAGACAAACTGGTATCAAAATATATAAGAATTTAAAAACGGTAGTAAACTTTCTGTTATATACCGTTCTTTTATAATGCCATGCCTGGAGGTGCTCAAATGCAATTGGCTGACATACTGGGAAGTACCTAATGACAACACAAAACGGTAGCCCCAGTTTAGAATAGTCTGACTACAGAAATATCGATTCACTACATTTATTAAATTTGTTAACTTTTTTCTTTCTTTTAATCACATCAGATTTAGATTTGTTTGTCTGGTGTAGTTACAAGAAGCATTGGTGGTTCTTAGTCTTCATTGAATGTTCTTCAGAGTAAATTAGTTTGGTATTACCTATTTAATTATAATTAAATGCAAAACTTTTGTAAATTCATTTTTGATGTAGGCATGTTTCCACTCTCCTTTGCTTTCTGTTTTTAGTGACTATCATGTGAATATCTTGTTTCCTATTTATCTTGTTTAGTTCTCCAGCAGGCTGGTAGGAATCCGTCCCATGCGACTCTCAATAAATACTGGACTTCTAGAACATCTAAGCTAAACTTTGATGACTTCTGCGAGATTCTGAAATGCGAAAGGAAAACCGAGGAGGCTGAGATAATGAGAGCTTTCAGAAAACTAGATGTAAACTGTGACGGCTACATCACACACAGCGTACTGGAGAAGGCTCTAACATCTGTAAGTAAAATGTTTTTTAGAATCTTATTTTTCCACAAAGTGCAGAATATTCTCTTAACATTAGCTTCTTATTTGGTGGTTTAATTTGTGAAGGTTACTGTCGCTTCAGATAGGGTTCTTCAACCTGTAACTTGGTTTTGCAAAATGATCCATTTTTATTGAACGCACCAATTTGAAAGAGTAATTTTAGCTGTTCTTCCATCTCTTTTCATTCAGTAACTACTCATACAAGAGAATGACACAAATTTTGAATGGAATAATTTTAATTAGGATTGTTGTCATTAGGCTGCTAACTATTCACTTTACTTCTGATTTCTTATTCATTTTTATTTAAAACAAATGTGTGCGTACCACTCCAGAAAGTGGACTCAGTTTTTTGTTGACTTTATTCTTGGAACATCAAACCTAAACTTTGATCACTAGTCAGCTTCTAAGTATTTGGAAAATAAACTTTTTTTTTTAATTATTCTCCACCAATTGTCAAAAAATGTAATCCATTCATCCATTTTGTCTGGATTATAAACAACAGAGAACTCTGGGAAATTAAGAGTTTAAAACTATGGAATTTTGCTATAAGAAATGTGTAGTAGTAGCAAAGGTCAACTGGGAGCCCTAGTCTTGGACAGTAGAGAGCATGAAACTCTTTTGAATTCATTGAACTGAAGATGTGTCTGCGTCATGATCGGTCAGGATGTTATTTGAAATTGTCTTTGTTGTTGCAGAGCGGCGAGAAGATGACAGCGGAGGAGGTAAATGCTGTTTGTTCATTGTCAGACATAAACAAGGATGGAAAACTGGACTATGCTGAGGTATGCTCATGCAAGCTAACTAAATATTTCCATCCAAAAGATATTCTTTTGAACTTTCAGTTTCTGTGCTGATTTTTTTTTTTTTTTTATTGTTTGTTGCAAATCTGTCTGGATTTGTTGTTCATTCAAAAACAAAAAATGAAGTCATTTATGCTCCTCTTTGTTGGCTCCAAACGTTGCTCGTGTATCATTCTCTCATTACTTTTTCCCCTGCTGCTGTCAGTTCTGCCGGCGGCTTGTTTCTACAACGGAGCAGTGTCAAACGGCTGCTCTGGACAAGCTGGAAGCTGACGCTAAGCTAAAGAGGCAGAACTTTGGCAGCCAGTTGTACAGCCCTCCTAAAAGCTCAGTGGCATCAGCATCATCTGTATCACCAGCTCAACATGCGGAATCAGACTCCACTGTCAAAAAAGGTATTAAACAGAGGCTTTAGAGCAGGTTTACCCCAAATCTCTGCAGTGCACCCGTATGGTCCGTTTTGATGAATGAGTAATAGCTGTTTTATTGATCAATTTTTCATCACCAATGTGACAAATCACCCCATTAAGGCAGTCCATGTTTCATAATCGCCAAACAATTAGGGCAGCTTGTTTAGAGGGAGGAGACATCAAAGTGTTTTGATTCTGGTAGTCATTACTGCCATTAGAAGACTGACAAAAAATAACTACTTTGGTTTGAAACCACTTGGATTCAGTCAGCGGCATTTTTTCAGTAAGGAATCTGTAGATTCTCTGTCACTTCTCCTTTGTAAGTTCGCTTTTAAACATTTAGAACCCAACTGTTGAAGAAAGGATTGGAAGGGCGGAGCTCTGGGATGATAAGGCGAGTGAGGGGCCAACATTGGGAAGATGGATGGGGTTGATTTAAGTGGTCAGTCCATGTTCTTGTTATTGATTCGGGGAGGATTCCACCACTTCTCACTGGGGAGGTGATGAGGGATTAGAGAGGAGGAGCAGTCAACCACCACTGCAAAAACAAATGAGCTCCCACGCAGTAGTCTGGATTATCACGTTATTGTGCCTCTCCCATGTATTGATTTCTACCTGTTGCGTTTTAACAAGCCTTTGACTTGAGTTGCTATGCAATCACACACGTCAAATGGGTAATTTTTGTAGCCTTGATAATGTTTTGATGTTTTGCTTTCATTCAAGCGGTAATTTTATTGATTTGTTTGAAAAAAAAAAAAAAACTTTCAGAGCTTTATTTTAACAGCATAAATCTAAAGGAGGATTACAGTGGGTTCATTTATTTCTGTATCTAACTGATTACTCACATTTCTAATTGGCCTGATTTTCCGAGATTGGTAACAATCCGCCCCTTCATAAAAAATAGGAAAAAAATTCTACCGTCAGTTTATCTTCAAGGAATAATGTTATGCAAGAAAGTGAATTTGAAGGGGTGCCTTTAGTGATTTCATGTGGCAACGTAATTACATGGAGCTAGATCTCGAGATTACATTTTCTCAGAACAAAAAGCAAAGTCTGCATTGTCACTTGAACTGTTCAAAGAAACTTCCAAGAAGGCAGACCATTGATTGAATTTCATCACGCACCTAATTTTGCTTTTGGAAAACTGTTGCATAGACTACTGAACTGCCTGTAATTTGTCATAAATTAGTCTTTTTTTTAAAAACTGTTGAGTATTTTGCTAACTGCTGTGTGTGTTTCTCAGACAGCCAGTCCTCTTCTCGTCCTCCTTCTGCTCGCAGCAGACGGTCGTCCCTGTCAAACTCAGTCACAGTGGCATCCAGCAGCAGTAAGGCAGGCAAAGTTCAGGAACCGTCAGGTTTACAGGTAACGGAACTCGGTGCACTTGTTCTAAATGTTTGGAAATGTCCTGAAATGACATCAAGTCCTGCTTTCTATATATGAAGCAACATTTATGATAACCCCTTGGTGTTTCTATGTCCATGCTAATGAGCACTGGTAGTTCTTTAACACATTATTTCCTTCCACTAAACTTATCATCGATATGCTTGGATAGAGCACTATGAAAACAGCCACCTTCTTTAGCAATAATATTTTGTGGCGATATAACATATAACACAATAATATAATATTTCTGTAATGAAACCCATTTTTATTAGTTTATGTAATGATAAAATTTTCTGGGACGCCTTATTTATGGCAGTTCATCAACTGTACAACATAATTATGAAAATGAATGTTTAACATAAATCACGTGGTTCTAAATACTCATGATAAGCCCTCGTTGTTTCTTTGTCCATACCTAATGATCAGCGTACACTCTTGCTCTCTTGGTTCTTTAGTGTATTTTTTCCTTACTTTAAGCTTTTTATTGATATGCTTGGATAGAGCACTTCTATCCACCTTCTTTAGCAATAATATTTTGTGACAAATAACATATTTCTGCAACAAAACCCAGTTTAATAAGTTTATGTAATGATACAATTTTCTGAGAAACCATTCATGGGACATTTTATGAAAATAAATTCTTAAGATCCAGCACAGGGCACTAAATACTATGAGTCACCCATTTGTTTAGCTAAATTATTGAAATAAATGAGTATTTCAATTGTATTCCTAGTTCTTAAGCTTTACCTATGCATACAGTACTATTAACTATATGGTTTATTGTAAATGCCAAATCTGTACATTTAGTAAATAACTGGATATCTCTTTGTGTTTGTATGGAGTACGGCGTAATAAGGAGGACCCAGCATGCCGTGCAGCCGCTCGGATGGCTGAACGTAGCCTGGGGTGGATAGATATACACTGTATTGATCTGGCGCTCTTTGTTTTCACTCTTTTTGGCTTAACCCTGGCTGGTTTGCTTTACAGCAAAACGAAAAAAAAAAAAAAGTAAATAAATAAACAGAACAGAACAGGTCTAAGCACTGTGTTGAGATTGGAAACGACCAGACATCATTAAGGGTAACAGAATGTGTGTCCAGAGAGCACCTCGAAGGGGAACTTCTGCTCCCTGGATTGGCTCCCTATATAGCCACAGGCTAATAACTATGGCTGATGGAGAATGGATGTGTAGCTGCATCAATATGCAGATATTGTTGCATCTTCTGAGACACAAATATCTCCTTGTATACAGAAATCTACATGGCAATCATTGGTTTTATGTTTTCCTATAGCTTTTTATGTGTAGATAAGAGCAGAAAGAGATTAAAGGAGGTTTAATAGACTGTGTATATGAGTGTGTGTGTGTGTGTGTGTGTGGCCGGGTTGGTGTCCTGCGACCCTGTGAGACAGTAAATCAGACCTGTGGCTGGAGCAGGTGACAGATCCTGTATTAGTCTGCAGGCTGACCCTCTCTCTATGGAGGCATTAATTCTGATGTCCTTAACCAGTGGATGGGTGCCCATGGCATTTTCCCTCATTTAATATTGTCTGGACAAACCACCAAAGTGTTATGGTTTGATCTTTTATGCCTCTCACAGCCCAAGATAAATACTCCGAGAAAATGGCTTTTCTCTAAAGGAGTGGCATGCTCCGTCTTTATGGCACTTTTCTTTGTTTAACTTGGTGATTTATTTGTCAACTATAAGGATATATGGCCTATTCTGGCCTTGCTTGGCCCTCAATGTGCTTTTTACTGTGTGTCCACGTCAACTGTGTTTTCATTTAATGTGTCTCCAATGAGGGGAATGAAAACTTCCCTGTGTTGATGTTCCTGTTCAATTTCAAATTATTACCTAATTTCGGTTGTGTAGCCAGACAAAGCAACAGCAGGATTGCAAAATGGAAGAAATATTAGAATTCATAAATATCGCCAAAGTAGCCCCTGGACGCTTTTGAATGACCGCTCGCTCAAGATTGAAGAGGCCATATTTATCAAGGTTAAATAGGCTCCAATTTGCCCCAATCAGGTCCAGCAGGGAGACCTTCCCCAGCCTTCTGCAGACACACGGTGTGACACTCCTGCCCTCTTCTGGCCAGCACTAGAATAGCATCTATTTCATGTGAATGAGTTGATACGAAAAAAATGCCACAATGAATTTTTCAAAGTGTTGATTTTATGTTTCAATTGGCCAATATGGGGATTGAACCCATGACCTTGATGTTATTAGCACCACACTCTGACCAGCTGAGCTAACCAGCTTATATATTGTTGAGTTTTCACTGATTCAAGAAAATCTTACATGATCGTGACAAAGGCGTTCATATTCAAATTTTTTTCAACATGCATAAAGGTATATTTTCCAGCCTTCTTTTTATTGTGAAGTGTTGATTTTATTTTCCAGCCTTTTTTTATTTTCAAGGCAGTGGCGATTTTGAAGTTGGGCAGTTTAACGGCTTTTGTGCTGTTTAACACACGGGAATAATTTGAGCTTTTTTCGTACTGCATGTGGGATGTATTTTGTAGTCACCGTGCTAAACGATGCCTCCACACAAATGTTGATATCTCAGGAACCATAAAAGGTATGGATTTCATTCACCCACCATTTTTATCAGAAGGAATAGAGGAATGTTTCTGTCCTTTTCAAATTTTAGGGTTTACATGAGTCTTTTTCTTTCTTTTTTTTTTTTTTTTTACATTTCAAGGAATATATTACTACAACCTAGCATTCTAGTGGTAGCCTGTTTTAGCTAGTTTTAGCTTTTTAGCTAATTTTGGCTTTTATGTGGGTTTTTCACACTGCATGGACTATTTCTCACTTTTCTGCAAGTCTTCAGCAGTTGGCTTCAAATGCTTTTGCCATTTTCACCAAAAGCATTGAGCATTCAGCATTCACACTTGCATTTTCGTAGGAAATGCTCACTTTCTAGTTAGTTTTGGTTTCTGTTGACTGAATAAATTAATTTTGTTTTGTAGTAGTGTCAGGATCTGAGCTGAAACCACACACACATAAACATGTCTAGATGCATAAAGCAGAATTGAATCCTTGATAAGTATTATAAAGGCCTTCAAGCAGAGATAACCATATTTTTGTGATTGTTCTCCTGGTTTGCCATCCAGACAACCATTAGAAACGTAAAGCAGGAGTGTTTTCTGTCATTGCAGGATTGGCATCACTGCTTTATGAAAGGCTGCTTCTTTGTGGACGATAAGGGCAGCATTAGCTCTCTGCAGTACCACCTTCATCTTCCTCAGAAAACCAGTGTCTATCTAACCATTCAGCCGCTGAGCCTCAGCCACAGACCTGGTTAGTGTCAACATGTTCATGAAAGAAAAATATGTAAAACTGTAGCGTGCACACAGCTAAATGTTGTAGCTTGGAGAAACCCTTTGCAATTTTTTTTTTTTTTACCATTGGTAAAATATTGTATGAAATTGCCTACAAAATGCTTTTACAGAAATTATATAAGTACTTCACACTTTGCTGAAAGAAGCAAGGTTTTATCTGACATTTTTAAATTAGACTACAAGTGTGACTAAGGATTTGTTTGGGTTAGAAGCAATTTTTAGGGCATCTAAAATTCCAACATAAAATAGATTCATTACCTTTCATGGGCCTATTTTTCATACTTTAGCTCATTAAATTTAGTTCAATATGAAGGATCTGCTCAAGAGCTACAAGGTGGTGCAGTTGTTAGCTCTGCTGCCTTGCAGCATAAATCCATGGTTTGAATTGAGTTTCCTGTAGGTCCTCACTCTACAGTTTTATTTGTCATCATTTTCTTAATTCATAGAAAATACATAATGTATGTTACTGACTTTAAAAATAATTTGTGATTAAAAATAACCCCAACAACTTTTTCCGTTTTCATCTTTTCAGATAAGCCTCCAGCATGGATGAATGTGGACACGGCTGTTTTTGTCATGACAGCAGGTGAAACCAAAGAAGACTCGGCTTTAGTGTGTTTCACCGAATCAAAAGACAAAGAAGTATGTTTAATGTAAACAGGCCCTTTCATTACCAGATTCATTCGTGTTCTAACATACATAGAATCAAATAAAACATCATTGTTCCTACATGCTGATATAATTCCTCTATGTTTTCACTTGTGAGATTATTTGTTGATTTTTTTTTTTTTTTTTTTGTTTTTGTAGAAATATGTTTGGAAAGGAGAACTAAACGCTGGGACTTACCGCCTGCTTCCCTTCACCAGTGGCTGCAGGTTAAAGAAACAAAACAAAACTAACTTTTCGGATAAATCTGTCAAACTTGTCTACAAGACAGACACAGGAGAACTAGACCTCACTAGCGAGCTGAGGTAAACCTCTGATGTTGGTATCTGTTGCTGCAACAGAGTTTGAATGTAAAACGCTCCTATGGATGTGTGTTTTATAAAGGAAAAGGAGATGTGGGTCATTTATCTGTAATATTTTGTTTTTACCACAGGGAGGTGCTGTCTGAAATCTTTGAGATGATTGACCTGGATGGGAATGGTTTGCTAAGCCTGGATGAGTACAACCTGTTTGAGCTGAGGACCAGTGGGGAGAAGTGTGACCAGGATGCCTGGGCCGTGTGCAAAGGTGGTCACTAATCAAAGCAACTTAACGTGAAGAGGGCGCCCAGGTTTTTATTGTTCTTTTTGGTTTTGTGGGGCCAGAAAACTTTGATATGAGGAAAAACCAGCTGACGCGGCAGGGTTTTATGGAGCTGAACCTGATGGAGGCCACAGAGAAAGATGGAGACCCTGCAGACCTTTGGGTGACCCTGGAATCTATGGGTTACAATCATATGCTGGAGTTAGTAGAGGTAGGTGAGCACATGTGATTAACTAAATAATAGACGTTCACTCATTTGGTTTTGTGGTGCAGGATGAATGTCAGCCAGTTAAACAAACCTTTCCTCCTGCTCTGGAAGGCATGTCCATTCCAAATAGATGTACACTGTGAAGGTACTCAGCCATCCATGCAGCCACTTTGCTTGGACTCAGGCACCAAGCTTTTGAACCAAGCCCTCCAGAAGTCCATCACCTTGAGGTTTGGGGCCAAAGCACTTCGAGGGCATGACAACGTCTTCATCTACACCTACAGAGGAGACCACCGGATTTCCTCCCTCATAGTCAACAAGGTGGACCAAAAACTTGTTTACTCTTATCTAGCTATGAGGGCAACAATTAAGCTTTCAAACACTCATTAGAGGCATAAATTTTAGATTATCTGGGGCTTTTAATGGTTCATTTGAATCATTCATCCTGTGTTAGTTTGTTTTTTTTGTTTTCAAACTTGTAGACATGCATACACCCCAACAATATTTGTCGGAATGTTTTTTAGCAAGTTGCAGACAAATCACACAGTTTTTGTCAACATCAGCAAGGTGCTGGCATGATTCTTGCTGTGTGTTTGAGTACACTCTTGGTAAAGATGATAGAGCTCATCTAAAAAAAGTTTACTTTCAGAGAGTAAACTAGGGAGTCACTCAGTTGGAACATCCATTTGTGTCCAGTTTCCAAGCTTTCACCCTCAGATGGAAGAACATTCATTTTGAAAAGTCTGAGCTGTTTGTCCACAATAAGAAGAATTTTGAAACGCTAACTTGAGGTTTTTAACATCAGAACATTGTAGCAGCTATCAAACATGTTAGTGGTAGTATCATGCTGAGGGTCTGTTTCAGTACCAGTTGCAAAGTGGATGGGTTGAGAGGAATATGAGCGACATTTCCCAGGACCTTAGCTAACACAATCAGTCGTCCTTATTCAATTCAGGGTCATTGACATGCAGGTGGGGTGTCCATTCTCTTGGCAACAAAAGCTACACTGAAAGAATGGCTGAAGGGCTCAGAGAACAACCAAGGAGAGAAAGTTGTTTAGATTCTTACCATGACTTCATGGTATGCAAAGACAAATTTGTGTAAACCTTTTTGTTCTTTTAATCCTATTTACATGTTTAAACTACGTTCTGTGTTTTCATAGATTTGAACTGGAGAAAGTTAAACTCTGCTTTCTGTTCTGCAGGCCAATCAGAAGGTGACGGTTCATGTAAACAACGAGCAGAGCAGGAACTGCTGCAGCAGCAGAGGGATGGCTATGTTTGCTATTGAAGTTCCAGCCAGGACCAAAATGGTAAAAAAATAAAAAAAAAGATCACTGTTTTACTAGTAAAGCTGGTGTTCTCTCCAACCTTGTGTGTCTGTTGTTATGCACGTTTTGTGTTAGCAGTATGACAACAGCAAGCTTGAGTATTTTTCAGAATATTCACATTGTAGAAATATCTGCCATAGATTCATTTGGAACTTTTGTATTTTTAAAATGGGCTAAAGGAGATTGAGAATTCAGGGAATTTAAATTGGGGAAAAGTAAGGAATTTTAAGTGTGAAAATGTGTGTGAACCCCTGACTATACCCACAGAAAACAGAGAAAAAATAAAAGAAAACTAGCTCCGGTGTTATGACAGCTTAATATTGTACCACAACAGACTGAATGATTATATTTAACCCTAGATTCTAATACAAACATGTATTTCTTTTGCCTGTAGGTGTGCCAACACGTGCTACCCATTAATGAAAAGCAGGAATGGGTCTATAACTGCGTGGAGACCAGTTTACCCAGCACATAAAGCTGAAACTGCTGAACATATTGCAATCATAAGAAGGTTGTACTACAGAAAGACTCTCTGAAGTCTGTGCTGGACGGTTCTACTTCTGGTAATCTATTTCAGTTCTAAAGATTGTTGTATATCATTTGAAATTTAGCAAAGTTAAATGATATATTTTCTCATGTCAGCTTTTATCAACTTGTTATGCATTGTTTGAAAAAACTGAGAACGTCTTCCTCACTGGTCACATTCGTCAGCTCCATCAGTAAGAATCATGCAACCTTTTACAACCACAAGGTAATAGTTAATAAAGGACAGTTTTCCTTTTGTTTATTAAATTAGTGTACTCCATGTTGGTTGAGTTTTTTTATTGAATCCTGATTTTGACATTGAAGTTACAGAAACAGTAAGACCATTCTATAAACTGTATATCAAATTATTGTATTCAGATGAGAATGAAAGAGCGCCCAACACTGGTGCTAACATGTATTTAACTGACAGCAGATGCCTCTTATTCAACACTTGGCCTGTAAATTGACAATTTTTTATTTTTTACAGTGAAATACAGTGAAATGTGCTCGAAACTATCTGTAATTTTCCTAGTGTGGGCGTGTCAGGATGTGTCGTTTGCAGTGAAATACATTCCTCTGGACTGCGCTCAGAACTAAACTTTACTTGGCCTCGACCTTTCCAGTGCAATCCTGACCTCCTATTTTTGTCTCTTGGGCCATTATCTGCCCTTTGACTTTCACTGCTGAAACAGTAGAGCCAGCTGACTTAAATGTCACATGCCATATGAGATGTATTTAATAACCTGAGCCTGTCTGCTCCTCTTTTCCCAACACAGTATCACTCTGTGCACTGCACTGCAGTTTCACTTGTTTAACCACAGTGATTGTCTCTCAGTAAAGCAGTCTGTGGCATTTCAGAGCAAAACATTCAAAAATAAAACAGCTGTAAAGACAAAAAAAAAAAAAAACATGATCGTCCCCCTGGGCAAGGAAAGAATAAATCAGAGAAGCAGCCATTCATTTTCTTACTTACATTATATCATAATACTATGTGTGGCAGGAAATTATCAATGTACAAAAATAACATTCCCACTGAAATCAAATCATATTCATGTCATAGAGTGGCCCAGTCAAAGTCCAGACCCAAATATAATTAAGAATCTATAGCAAAACTTCAAAAACTTCAGCTATTTTACAAAGAAAATGAGGAATTTTGTCAATTTGTACGATTGCGAGGCTGGTTAAAACCAAAAGACTTTAAGAAAAAAAGGGTTTTACAAAGTATTGGCTCAGTTGTGCTGGATAAAAATACATGTGACACTTTCACACATTTTTATTTGTAAAGAAAAAAATGGAAAAAAGAAAACCTTTTTCCTTCAAGTTCATAAAAATGCACTACTTTGTGGAAATCCATCCCATAAAATCCCAATAAAATCCTCTAAAGCTTGTGGTAACAAAAAATGTGGAAAAAGTAGTTTAAGGTTTATGAATACCAAAGATCAAGCCACTTTAATTTTAAAGTTTTAAAGAAAAAAAGGGGTTCTGTTGACCAAACAGTGTGATGCAAGAGGCAAACTGTTGGACTATTTCCCAACAATTTTGTTTCATAATTCACACTTTAAAATTGACACTTTAAAACCGAAACCAACCGACAGTGTATATGGACAGGTTTATTAACGGTTTATGTTTAAAAACCAATTGTTTTTGCACATTTAAAAAACATTTTTTTTTTAACTTTCTGTTTCTATATTTCCACTGATATGCTTTGAGGGTCACTGGCCTCCCAGAGTACATAACTGGACACCAGGGGGACAAAGGTCTGAGATGTAGGTGGTGTTCAATCTAAATTTGTTAAATCACTTTATTTCACATATTTCTCAACTAACAGTGTTAAGCAGTACGTGAACCTATTGATGAATACATAGACAAATAATGCAGTAAAAGTCATTACTTATTTAAATTCTGTTTTCTACCAAGTTTTGTTTTAAAATACTAAGTATTCAATTTAATTTAATTATATTTTATTTAGTTGTAGAACAGATTCACAGCGGATGTACTCTCAAGTCACTTTCCAAGTCAAAACAGATCCAAATCATATAAAATCCAATCTATTCCAATACAAAGCAGTGCTGGTTCAAAAGGCAGGAACATTATTGAAAGGTGACATATATATATAT